ATCCAAACAGAAGGGGCGAGATTGTGCCTGGGAGTTACTGCGAAAGGGTTTTTAAGGACTGCAGATTGCAAACGTGCTACGTACAGAGCCCAGCCTTTCCGGGTATTTATCCGCGAGCTTTGCACTGTAAATACAAGCTAAATACACGGTTGCCATTCATAAAGCTCTATATAGAGAATGAAGAGTTCAATATCGACGGACAACGATGTGAGAATATAATGACCTGCCCGATGAGACCGATAAGCTCCGGCTCGGAACATTGTCCGTACGATTATATACGTGTCTTCGATGGGAAGGATGAAAATAGTCCTGTAATCGGTACATTCTGCGGTATGGGTAAATTCCCCTACAGTATAATCGGCACCAGCGAAGATCTCTATGTCGAATTTGTTTCCTCACCAGCCGGACCACTATTGAACACGGGTTTTCACTTTAACGTTGGCAACTGGCCTGGTCACGTCGAAACGGCAGGCGTAAAAAACGGTAGCTGCGACTGGCTACTCAACAGCGAGTCCCTCGTAAGCGGTAACGAGGGTATCTTCCTGTCCGTCGCGCACTGGTACCCACCCCATACGAGCTGTACCTATTTGCTGAGGGGTCGCCCTGGTGAAATAGCCAGGCTTTACTTCCCCAGTTTCCGTGTCAATCGAATCGAGTCGCCCATCAAGCCTTACGACGGTGACTGCGGTGAGAGCCTTACCCTCTACGATGCGGATTGGCCGGACGATGCTAGAATAATCAAGACCTTTTGCGATACCTTCAGCAAACCAATGGAAAAGCACGATTTTGTCTCCACTTCGAATGCTCTATTTGTTAGATTCGAGAGTAAAACCGGCAGTTACTCAGGGAGTTCCCTTTACTATTGGGCACATTACGATTTCTTCAATGCCACGAGATTTGGGGAGCCTGTACCTGGCACAGAATGCGACGAAAAGTTTACTTCATGGAGAGCACGTGTTGGACGTTTGAGATCACCCCTGAACACGTTGATTTATAAACGACCTGGGAACCCACCAATGGATCTCTCCTGTACCTATACGTTTCTCACGGACAAGAGGCTTTTCGCTAGAGTAATATTAACGATCGAATCGGTGTCTTTCAAAGAACGTTCAACCGGTCACTGTGGCCATTGCTGGGACAGTCGAGTCGATAGATTGGTTATACGAGAACCTGGACCGGATGGTGTTAAGGGTACTTGTATATGTCGTCGTGACGAGGAAGACAGTATACCGATAACACCGATCAGAGTAGTGTCCCGTGGCGAGAGGCTCGATCTGAAGTTTCTAATAGACGGTGTTCGGGCAGCCGCGAATTACTTTAAACAACCTTCACCGATATTCGAGGCCAATTACGAATTCGCTCACAGTCCACTCTGCGGGCCTGCCATATTGCCTGCTATCACGGACGGTGAAATCGAATTTCCTCATTACGAGGCACTAGGCTACGTTGCTCCACCGAGATCGATCAAATGTATTTGGGAGTTAAGAGTCAATCACGGACGAGACTTGTGGCTACACTTTGATAAAATAAAATTTGCTTCTCGTTCCTGCGAGGACGGTAAGCTAGAAATCTTTCTTCCTGGATCGATCGATCCATATCTTGGTATTTGCGGAGAGAATGTCAGCTCTGTCAGAGAAATGCCTATACTATCGGCTAGTCAAATTCTACCAACCGATCGTGACGACACGGAATATTCCAACGTAGTAATACAATTTACCGGAACTATGGCACCAGCCAGAGCTGCCTTTAAAATCGCCTGGACCGAACTCTATCATTTACCGAGGGACAGTTCGGGCGGACTACATAGCCAAAAACTCGATGAGGAGTGCGGCTTCCATTGTCCCGGTGACGCTGGTTGCATACCCATCAGATTGGTATGTAACGGTGTTGTAAATTGTCCTAGTACCAGCTCAACGATCGTCGTTCCCTACAACAACAACAGTCATCCTGAACCTGACGACGAGTCTCTCGAAAGCTGTGCTGGACCTCTTGGATCGAACGGTGGAAGTGTCGTTGGTCCTGCTGGTTGGGCTGGTGCTGGACTCGGTGCTGGCTTGGCTATATTACTTGCTATTACTTGCCTCATCGTGGTGTGTCGCATTTGTAAGCGTCGCTCTCGTTCCAGAGACATTCACGTACCGTACTAGCGTTCGGAGCTAATACCTACTCCAGCATATCGTCGTTGCGATCCTCCTGTGAATTACGGACGCGAACGCGAACACGAACGTGAACACGAACGTGAACGTGAACGTGAACGTGAACGTGAATATGAACGTGAACACGAACACGAATGTCGTCGTCGTCGTTGTCGTCGTCGTCATTATCTTCGTTGTCATTGTTGTCGTCATTGTTGTCGTCGTGTCGATCATTTTTTTCTTCTTCGTTCGATCACGACGACGAGATTGCCTTTTCAACTCTCACGATTTTTCCTCCCAAATAATCTCTTCCTTTTCGTACCTATGTTGAAATATATAAACAACTTCCAACTCGCAACAGTTATTACTAGTTTTTAGAAACTACGTCAGTGGCACTGCGTTACGCCGTACTGTTCGAGTTGAAAAAGATAGAAAGAGAGAGAGAGAGAGAAAGAGAGAGAGAGAAAGAGAAAAAGGATGCTTGCGAAATAACACGAGTCCATGTATTCCCTTAGGTCCCAGGACGCGAAAGTGCCAATGAAAATTCTATCCGGCATTTTGACGGCCATCTTTGAAACTACTATATGGAGGAATATATTGTGGGAACAATATGGAACCTTAGGAAAAGGATAATGGCGGAATTTTTTTCTTGATAAATTAAATGGACGTTCGTATCCGGTGAGAAAGATTGAAAATTTTTAAATAAATATATATATATATATAAAATAACAATATTATATCAGGTTTCATTAAAGAACATTGTTAAAATAGCCCGCGATGTAAATGAAAGCAAGAAAATGAAAATCGATTAATATTTCGTTTTTCTTCCATTTGTTTTATTGTTTTTTTCCTTTTTTTTATCATCTCAATCGGAATCAAATTTATATTTAACGTTCTATTCATTTTTTTCATCTTATCTGCCAGTTACTTTTTTTCTTTGTGTTTTTTCTTATTTATCAATTGCTTTTATTCTCTCACTCTCTCTCTCTCTCTCTCTCTCTCTCTCTCTCTCTCTCTCTCTCTCGCTCTCTCTATTTCTCTCTCTCTCTCTCTCTCGTAATCCTGCTTTGGTAAGAATTGACAATAGCAGAAATGTGACAATCTCGACTAACCCAACTTCCATCTGGACTATCCACCTCGCTGGTGGCTTCATAAAAAGCTAAATGAATTCTCGATAAAGTCGTAAATCCTTTCTATCCGTTGGTACGAGCGGGTCCGGCATAAGCCGTTGTTATTTTCTCGTTAGGATACGTCGACGGAAAAGACGAACTGGGGGTGGAGGTGAGGTAATGGGGTAATGGGGTTGTAGAGGTGGATTCATTGGGAGATAGGGGGATGCGGGGGCGGGAGCGGGGGAAGGAGTTTGGTTGGATAAGGGCCGACGCGGCGAAAGTTTATCGCGAAATAATAATATCATAAAAGTTCGTTAAAGAAGAGAAACAAAAGCGTTTCCGGTTACTCGCCCTCGAGAACTTTTATTTCGTATATTTTTCCCGTCTATCATCCCATTATCATTATAATTATAATAATTATTATTGTTATTGCTGTTATTATTATTATTATTAGTAGTAGTGGTAGTAGTAGTAGTACTATTATTATTATTATTATTATTATTATTATTATTATTATTATTATTGTTATTATTATTATTATTATTATTTCTATTACTACTACTATTATTTGACTTGTTAAGACCAACGAAATTTTTCTCGACTTATAATCCAAGGGATCATGCGTTAGTTTAGAGTTACACAAAAAGGGAAAGCAAAAAATATAAAGAGAAAATAATACGGAAGAAAAATGTGAGGGGAAAAAAAGGAACTCGTTTTGTTAACGTTACAAAATAACGAAAAGAGAAGAAAGAAGAGAAAAAAAGAAAGAGGGGAAAAAAAAAGAAGAAATAGAATAGGTAAGAGATGTAAGAAAATGAAGTTTTCAATTATATCGTCGCGATATAACACGCGTGCAACTTTAAATGCATTTCATCGTAGCCATTCTATTTAAATTTCCGGATCCGCGATCCTATTTACTCGTATCGATCTATATTGTTAAAACACTTCACGTATATGTATATATATATACATATATATATATATGCGTAGATATTATGTGTATATTTAAAAATACACATACTAACGTATATGCAAATGAATGTGGGTGTGTGCGTATTTATATATTTGTATATATATATATATACATACACACACACACACACACACACACACAGAAATAGAGAAAAAAAGAAGAGAAGGGATATTCAAGTTAACTAGGCGCAAAATGTTAAAGTTATGTACATACAATACATAAAGGCTAATACACATAGAGAAACATTCATATGCATAAACATAAACACAGCCACATAATTACTAACGTATGTATATCGCCGAAAGAGTAAAGTTCATTTAGATTCTATTTCGTCGTTTTTTTCGCGTTTACCAACAGGGAATGAATAGACGTGATGGGATGCTCGTCTCGTGTTGGCCATCAAGATAGGAAGAAAGAAGCAAGAGAAAGAGAGAGAGTGTGTGTGTATATGTGTATATGAGAGAGAAAAAGAGAAAGAGAGAGAGAGAGAGAGAGAGAGAGAGAGAAAGAGAGGGAGAGAGAGAAAGTGCAGAGCTTCACGATTACTTTTACCACCCGGTATGGTTTCAACTTGGTGCTTAAACGAATTCTCTCGACGAGTAGTAATTTATCGTAAAGGTACTGAAATTTTTCGACTCGCCTATTTTTTTACTCTCACCCTCAAACCCCCATTTCTTTTTTGTTTGTTTCTTTCTTTCTTTCTTTCTTCATTTCTTTTTTCTTTTCTTTTTCTTTTTTTGTTTTCTTTCTTCCCCTCCTCTCTCTCTCTCTCTCTCTCTCTCTCTCCTTCTCTTCGTTTTGTTACTTCTCTCTCGGCATATCCCTACAAAACGTATGCCAACGTTATGACCCTTTTCAAGACCACTAACGTCGAAAAGATGTAAATTTCTCGAGGCAGTTTATTCGAACATTGAACGTTAAGGCACGGAGAAAAAAAGAGAAAGAGAGAGAGAGAGAGAGAGAGAGTGAGAGCGAAAGAGATAGAGAGAGAGAGAATAATAAAAAAAGAAAATTGGACGCGTATATGAACGTGTTCGTGCGAGAAATAACGAGAGAGAGAGAGAGAGAGAGAGAGAAAAGAATAGGGGAAGGGCAGGGGTGGGAGTAAAAAAATAACATAAAAAAAGAAATATATAAATAAATAAGAAGAAGAAGAAGAAGAAGAAGTAGAAGAAAAGAGTACTGGAGGAGGGAAAAATAGGGAAAAAGTAAACACAAAGAAAAATATATAAAAAATATAAAAATATATAAAAGAAAAGAAGAATGAAAGAAAGAAGGAAAGAAAGAAAGAAAAATGGTCTGGAGCGTACGAGCGTGTTCTCGACATAGCCCAGAGTAATTCTCAAGAGACGAACGTCGAAATGAAAAGTGCGAGCTCCGTCTGGGTTCAGCCTTAAATGTGATAAGACAACGCGTTTTGCTTGTACATATAGATCATGTTTTTTCCGTAGACTTAGACAATCTTCTAGTTAATACGCACATACGTGCGCCATGATTAAATGGCCACAATGAGGGATTTACTGTTACACGGAGGATTAATGGATACAGAATGAGAAAGATGGAAAGTGTGTGTGACAAATAAAAAGAGAGAGAGAGAGAGAGAGAGAGAGAGAGAGAGAGGGAGGATGGTTGGTAGAGAAATTGTAAGCAACAAAAAGATTTGCGACAACAAACAAGGGAAAAAATAAAAAAAAAGAAAAAGAAAGGAAAAATAATATTAATAATAATAATAATAATAATATTAATAATAATTATAATAATAATAATAATAATAATAATAATAATTATAATAATAAATATTAGTAATAATAATAATAATAATAATAATAATAATAATAATAATAATAATAATAATAATAATAATAATAATAATAATAATAATAATAATAATAATAATAATTAGCCGAATGTATGCGCGTATGCATATCAATAGACGCGTACGAGGCCATCAGAACAGCGCTACAATTGAATGAATTATCGGTATAACGATATCTCATCGATATGTAACTCGCGATTATGATGATAATTACTATATTTTTTACTAATAAATGATTACCCTCGGACGTTGAGGTTAAAACAATTTCGTAGTTTCTTACGTAGTTCCATCACCTCTTCCTTCTTTTTCCCTTGATTGACCTGAAAAGACACAGAAAGAGAGAGAGAAAAAGAGAGAAAGAGAGAGAGAGAGAGAGAGAGAGAGAGAGAGAGAGCGGAAAGAAACAAAGAAAGAAACAAAAGATAAGAATCCATTTAGAAGATTCATTTTGGTGTTTCCTATCCCAAGAATGGAAAAGGGTCAGGATGTGTTCTTTAATCATTGTCCGAGAAAATGGTGACGACGTTCCGACGTTTCGAATTTGTCCTAATCGAACGACTTTCGATCACAGTCTTCAGTCTATCTATCTCTATCTCTATCTCTATCTCTATCTCTATCTCTATCTCTTTCTCTTTCTCTTTTCTCTCTTTCTCTTTTCTCTCTTTCTCTTTCTTTATATCACTACCCTATATAAAATCACCCTACAAACAAGCAAGTAGTAACGGAGATTTATAGAGACTCTTTTATCTTCTTCTCGAGTCCTATTCGTCTTAACCATTTTCAAAAGGGACGTCACGTCGCAATCAATAGGAACGTAAGTATGTACAATCTATTATGCATCGATACTTGCAAGTTCATTCGTATGTGTGAGAAAGATAAAAAAGGGAAAAGATAAAAAAAAAAAAAGAAAAGAAAAAAAAAGAAAAAAAGATTGACTGGCTATAATCGTTAAGTTAAATGGAATTTTTTTTTTTTTTGTTTCATTCATAAACTCCTATCACGATAATGGACAAGCTCGAAGAGTCGAAGTAAAGAGTTTCTTTCTTTCGATTAATCGATTAATCTCGAGAAAAATCGAAGAAAAAAGATGATCAATTAAATTGTCGAGCTAGTTGACATCTGTCATATTTTTCAAAAGCCACACGACTTTTTTAATTCCAGTCGTGTATCTCTCTCTGTGTGTGTGTGTGTGTGCGCGCACGTTTCTCTCTCTCTATCTCTCTCACTCACTCACTGTCTTTTTATATATATATATATATCTCTCTCTCTCGATCGACCGATCGACCAACTAGAAAGTTTCTTCACTTTTTTTTTTCTCCTATAATCAAGAACAAATTTATCGTAGAAGAAGAAGTGAAAAAAGAAGAAGAAGAAGAAGAAGAAGAAGAAGAGGAAAAAGTAGAAGAAGTAGAAGAAGAAGCAAAAGCAGATCAGTGGCATGTTGGAACTCTTTTCCCCTATCAAGTGTCTTCTTCAAGAGGAACGAATTCGGATCGACAACGTTGTGTTCAGGTTACATTCACGTGCTACGGTTCTCTTATTTCTCGTCTGTGCTACGTTGGTAACCGCTAAACAGTTCATAGGCGAACCAATTAGCTGCATCTCCGATCACAGCATAGGTACGACATTTTCTTTTCTTTTTCGTTTGAAAAAAAAAAGAAAGAAAGAAAGAAAGAAAGAAAGAAAAAAGAAAGAAATTCTTTCTTCCTTGCTCGTACTTTTTTTTTTGTCTTTTTCATTCTCTTTCTCTTCCTCTCTATTCTTTTTCTCTAATCAGAATCATGTTTCATAGGGGTAAAAAGAAAAAAAAAAAAAAAGAAAAAAAAAAAGAAAAAAAGAAAGAAGAACAGAAAACGAAGAAAAAGGAGAAGAACACCAACAAAAAATAGAGCTGCTCTTTCATTCGACAGGAGACTGTCGTTAATTAACGTTAATTGCAACCATGTACCAATTCCATCGTAGAATTTAGAATTTTGAACCTAACGTAGCAAGCAACCTGCTCAGAATAAATAAAGGCAGGTGCTTTTAAACGTACCAGAGTGTCCCTCGATTCATTAAACATCGAGGAAAGCTTAACAGGCACGCGCGAGCACCAACGTTTACGACACCTATCGCGTGAAAATGAGCTGAGCGGATAGGTGGAAAATAGCTGAAAGGAAAAAAAAACTGGATAACGGGAAGAGCAGAGCTAGTGTGTGTGTGTGTGTGTGTGTGAGTGAGAGAGAGAGAGAGGGAGTAAGAGGGGAAGAAAATATTTGTCTTGAAATTACGGACTAAGTGTCGTCGGTAAACATGAAATCGATGTGAAAAGTGCACTTTTAAAACTCCCCAGGAAGAAAAATACATCGAGCAAATACCTGGAAGGTTTTAAAAATTAAAATATTAACCGACCCTTCTCCCTTTCCCTTCCTTTCTTTTTTCTTTCTTTTTTCTTTCTTTTTTTTTTTTCCGTTCTTACGCACATTCTCATGCGTACATACGCAATTTAGTGGCCGTTGTCGAATATTGCTCGAGGCTGGACTGGTACCTTTTTAAAATGAACTCTGGTGTTCCCTCGACAACAGCAACAATACTGTCAAGGAGAAAAGATTTTTCTTATTTAAAATCGATCTACTCGAGAAAAAGAAAGAAAAAGAGAAAGAGAGAAATGTCGGAATACATTAACTCTCACGTTACTCTTTTACATATTTATCATCTTTACCTTTCAACTTCCTGATCGTCGTCAATTACTTCTTCTTTTCTTCTTTATAATACTCTTTTCGATAGACAGAACGACGTTAAACGCATACTGCTGGATATATAGTACCTACACAGTGGCACGTCACTTAAAGGGAATACCAGGTCGAACTGTGGCAAGTCCAGGAATAGGAAATGCATCTCAGAACGACGAATTATATTATCATCGTTATTACCAGTGGGTTAGTGTCCTCATTCTGTCTCGTAAACTTTTCGTTAAAAATATTTTTGATAAATGAAGAGAAACTCTAGCGGAAATTATCCTTTTCTCTTTTGGATGACATTTTGAGTTACATTAATTATTCAAATAAATGTCTTTAAAGTATAGCTACGTACATATACATATATATACATATATAGTGACTAAATAGATATCGAGTATCTTAGATAGTTCTTCCTTAATAATCATTCCTTTGAGGAAAAGTCGCAGAAATGTTCTATATTTAATCAATTTGTTTGTCACTTTTCATAATGAAATATTAACAGGAACTTGATATCTGCACTCGAAAATAGACATCACTTCATACTCCCTTGAAAATTGTATTTACGAACGCCATCTATCAGTTGAAACATTTCTTAAGCCCCTTTTAATAGGCAACATCAATTCTTCCGTGCATATACGCGGACGGTTGCCTACCAGAAGGGATTAAAAAAGTTTCTTACTGATAGATGGCGTTCGTAAGCACAATTATCGACGAGGTACAAAGCGTTGCCTGTTTTCTACCGTGTAATTACATTTTAAATATAAAAATTCCTTCGAGCATCAAAAATATCTTCGGAACAAAAATTCTTTTTAATTATTTACACGGTAATGCAACAGGGTTGGATTTCGTAGAAAAAAATTTGTAAAAATGATTACAATCAATGAGATTCCGTAAACATATGAAAAGATATTTAGTTGAATATATTAAAAAAAAAAAAAAAAAATCGTGGTAAACGTTTGTCCCCGTGACGATCAATTAAAAATCTCTCTTTTTATATGAAACGTCAGAAGCAAAAGGTATTTCGTCGCTTGAATTTCTCTGTCCACGAGAGAAAACAACGTGTGTTAGGTAACAACAGACGCGTCTCTCACGCAACAGGTTTGCTTTATTCTCGGCTTACAAGCGATTCTCTTTTACGTGCCCCGAGCGTTATGGGGAATATGGGAAAGGGATACCGTCACTTTGCTCGCGAGGGACCTTTCCACTTCGTTTCTGGATCGAGATGCTTGGACCGAGAATAGAAAGCGTCAATTAGTCGACTATTTCATTGAGGGTGAACTTCGAATGACGCACAATTTCTACGCTCTACGTTATTTCCTCTGCGAAGTTTTCAATTTTCTCAATACGGTAAGTGAAAGGAGAAATGTAGAAAAAAAAAAAAAAAGAAAGAAAAAGAGGAAAAAACTAAAATTATTACAAATAGAAAAGTCCTTTCACAAAAAGTTCCATCTTTAGATAGGACAATTATATCTCTTGGATCTATTCTTCGAGGGTGAATTTAGACATTACGGAGTTGCGGTTTTAACATTTCCTAAGGAAAAACAATATCATAGGATAGATCCGATGACTCGACTCTTTCCCAAGGTCACCAAGTGCACGATGCACACCTTCGGTTCGGCCGGCTCGATGCAAATTCATGACGCTCTTTGCGTTCTCTCGTTGAACGTTATGAACGAAAAGGTCTTCTTCTTTATTTGGTTCTGGCTAATATTTCTAATGATTCTCGGCTTTCTTGCTCTTTTTTATAGGTAAATTATATTTCTCTCCCTCTCTCTTTCTCTCTCTCTATCTATCTATCTATCTATCTCTCTCTTTTTTCCATTTCTTCATTTTATTAACTCCTTTTATTCGTATCTAGTATAATTGTATATATCAATATTTTTCCATTCGATACTTGCGTTACAGGATCATTGTTTTCTCTCAACCGAGGATAAGAGTCTATCTTTTGCGAGCTTCGATGAGGACCCTTGCGCATGCCAAAGCAAATACCATAGTTCGAGTGCTTACTTTTGGCGATTGCTTTCTCCTCCATCGACTAGCACAGAACGTGAGCCCGATCATATACCGGGAGCTAATCGATGAGTTGGCAATCAGCCTATCGACGAAGCATTTCAAAGAATTAGTCTAATTCTACGAATTTATCTATTTAATCGATTTAATATACAAATATATATATGCGTGGTATGTGTGTGTATACATATGTGCACGTATTCGTATGCGTGTGTGTGTGTGTGTGTGTATGCGTGTAGATATATATCATTCGATCGAAAAAGATCATTTGAATCGTTTGAAATGATATTGATTTAAGATGATAAGAAAATTTCAATTTTTAGATAACATTTTCACATATCTCTTCATATCAAGAATTATTATATACGTGTATACCGATAGATTATTTTATAACATTTGATCAATTCCCCTAATATTATTTCAAATGGATTTTTTTCGATTTGAACGTTTAAATTAAAAAGTTACGTTAAAATTGATTTATCGATCGTACGTACGTATAAAACGTATTATATACGATTATTGTATTTTCTTAAATGATAAACATAGAAAAAAATTATTATAAATGTATCATCGCACGATCTCAAAAGATAGAAGATTTGGGACGGTATGGAAGGGGACGAATCATGTCACGTTTACATTTTTAAATAAAACCCAATATCCCTTATTAAACATTCTTGTAACTGACATTGAACTAATTTCAAAATGCTTTCTACATATATAATTTTGGATATATCTAGGGAGTACATACAATCTAAAAGGACACAAAGCAAGACGGTATATACATCGGATAACGCTGATGTCAAGGGACACACAAAATCTAATATTTAATAACCAAACGACGGCTTATGTCCATGTAAGATAATAAATTCTTCAGATAGTATTTTGAAATCAATGTTGAGATGTTAGCTATAAGAATATGTAAAATAAAGAATGTTGGATTATATTTAAGAAAAAAAAACAAAACGAAAAAAAAACCGTGAGCTCTTTTAAACAAGAATTATTTAAGTTCTCAAAGATGCAAGTCAAAATAATTATTTACGTGTCCTCCCTCTCGCCTCCCATCCTCAACTCGTCACACGATGACATCTATAATATTTATATATATATATATATATACATATATACATATATGTATATACATATATATATACATATATATACATGTATATACATATATATATACATATGCGAATATATTCGTCACGTGTATACGGGAAGAATAAGAGCATTGAGGATTGATTCGCAACACTTTGTTCGAGTATCGGTCGCTAGGTGGCACTCCAAGTTCGAAATAATCGATCGAAGATATCGATTGATTATTAATATCGATAACACGTGTTTATTTATTGTCTCTTATCAAATTGCATTTAATAATAATTGTAATTTTGTTCATTGACTAAAAGAAAAAAAAAGGGGAGAGAGAGAGAAAGAGAGAGAGAGAGAGAAAAAATCGAAAGGAATTTTATTTTTCTTTTTTTTTTTTTTTCTTTCAGTACTATCGTTATTATTATCATTATTATTATTATTATTATTATTATTATTATTATTATTATTATTATTATTATTATTATTATTTCTTTTTTTATATTAAATATTTAGCGTCTTGTAGAGTAAACAAGAGAGAGAGAGAGAAAGAGAGAGAGAAAGAGAGAGAGATCTAGTGCCATCTAGCATCGTGTCGGTCGAACTATCGATATCTGCGTCAAAAGTAAAATCAGACGGTAGTACATGCCGAGCAATCGTAGAAGACGGTAGACAGGTGGTGTGTGTTACTTGACTTGCAAAAAAGGTCGTCAAGTTAAACCGAACTCTCGTCGTGCGCGTGTATGACGGTCTCGATTTAGAGGGAAGCCGGGGGGGGGAATAGGAAGGAGAATAGGCTTATTGTCAATGTTGAGGATAGTCATGAGTTCATGATTTTCTTCGTTCGGACAAAATTGAGACGAAGTAACGCGAAATCGGGCATCCTTATGTTAACGATTTAAATAGAAGACAATAAGAAGAAGAGAAAAAAAGAAAGAGAGCAAAGAACAATATTTATAAATAATTAACGATCGAAAGAATAATCAAGGTGATAAATTAAATAAGGCAAAGAGAAAAAGAAAAAAAAAAGAAAAAAAAAAGAGAGGTTAGGATAAGGATAGAAAGGAACAAGTTGAACCGATTAATGTTGTGGACATTGTTATCAAATGATCGAGCAGTTTAAAGGATGATGAAATTAAATGGAAAATGCAATTTTATTGTAGAAGAATAAAAGAAGTCGAAATTGATACCGGCTGTGTTTGGGCTTTCGGACACGACGACATAACTGTGTGTTCTCTCTCTCACTCTATTTCTTTTTATTTCTCTCTCTCTCTCTTTCTCTCTCTATTTCTTTCAATTTCTCTCTCTCTCTCTCTCTCTTAGTCATTATCATATTCTTCAATCGTCAATTATTCTTGCCATTATCGTCGTCGTACATTAATAAAGTAAAGTAAAGAAATTCGAAAGAAACAAAAAAAACCAAAAAAAAAAAAAAAAAAAAAGAAAAAGAAAAAAGAAGAAGAAGAAAAACAAAGGTAATTCACCCTGAGTTCGATCTGGTGTCATTTCTCTGTCTGTCTGTCTCTCTGTCTGTTAGAGAGAGAGAGAGTGAGAGTGAGAGAAAGAGAGAGAGACAGACAGACAGACAGACTTTCGTAACGTAAGAAGGAGAGAAAAGAAAAGAAAAGAAAAGAAAAGAAAGGAAAAAAAATAAATAAAAAAGGAAAATAAAAGAAGGAAAGAAATAGAAAAAGAAAAGGAAAAAAAGACCATTCGCATGATCGAGGAGCGTAAAGGAGAGAGAGAGAAAGAAGAAGAAGAAGAAGAAGAAAACAAAAAAAGGAAAAGAAAAACATAAAGGAGGAATCATGGCTACGGTCTTTGATAGTCCATTTCTGTCGAATCGACTGCGTCAAATCGAGGAACGTTACGAGCCTAGCACATTTGGCAGGTGCGATTGCACGAGCTATAGTTATTTATCGGTGAGTGTCGTTCTCTTCACGGTCGGAACGACTATCACCGTATTTGCTCTTGGCAATGTCGCCGAGGGATACGTATTTTCCAATTTGGGCCATATGTGGCTCATAGGTCCGATCTTTATCTGTTCCGGACTGATGGTTGCCGTTAAGTGTATGCTATATCTCAGAAGAAAATCCGTCATACAGATGATCTTTCATCAACGACAACTTTTCAGGGTACATGCTTATTGCCATAATTCTTTCTCTGTCTCTCTTTCTCTTTTCCCCCACCCCATATCCCAACCCCCTTCACCTTTCCTTCCCTCTCTTGTTTTTTTCATTTTGTTTTTTTACAATTTTTTTTTTATTTTTTTTTATTTTTTTTTTTTTTTTGAAGCTTCGACCTTGGATTGAGATATACATGTATGTATATTCATATGTCGAATTTATATATATATATATATATATATACGATACGTGAACGGATAAGATCGTAAAGAATGAAAGGAAAAAAAAACGAAAAAAAAAAAAAGAAAAAGAATTCATAAAATAAAATAAAAAAATTAGAAATAAGCAACATTATAATTGTGGTTGCTTTTCTATTTAATTGTTTACCGCGATAACGATGGTATACGATACGTCGTCGTATTATTATCGTAATATGTTTTCAACCTATAACAATATAAACAACGAATTCTTTCTTGTCTCTCTCTATCTATCTATTTATCTATCTATCTATCTATCTATCGGTCTATCTATCCGTCTATCTGTTTCATTCGTGCACGTAAATTAAAATGGTTGTTTCAATTTGTTAGAATCTTTAACAATTCTTTTATATTTCTCTTGATTCTTTTTCTCTCTCTCTCTCTTTCTTTTTTTTTTTTTTTTTTTTTTATATATATATTCCTTTGTTAATAATTTGCCTTCATTTGTAACCCAATGTCGCCCAATTTATCGCGTATATTTGTCGTATATATTGCGTATTGCGTGCACGAAACTAATCAAAGGAAAAAACAAGTCAACGAAATATGTATATATATATATATATATATATATAAATGGAAATGAATTATGTATACATGAGACAAGAGTTTTGATAAGCAGGAAACAATAGACCTGCAATATTAACAAGTATTATACCATAGAAGTAACGTTGTATCATCGTTCAACTTATAATTTTCATATTCAAGGATCTTTTCTGCCATTGTTGTTACCTTTATATATTTACAATTGTAGATATTATGAAGTATAAAGCATTGTAATAGCATTTACAGGAACTGGCAGCATCTCCGAGCGTTGGTACAAGCGGTATGGGTACTCCTGGACCACCTTCTTACGAAGTTATTACACAAGCTCAAGGATCAAATGAATTGCCACCTCCTTCATATGCAGAAGCTGTTTCACTTTTACGACAAGCAGGAATTAATGGTAAATTTGATAATGTAATATCTTAAAAAAAAAAAAAAAAAAAAAAAAAAATTTTTTATTTTATTTTATTTTACTTTATAATGAGTAATAATATTTCTTCGCTGTAGATACAAAATTGGATTGTGGAACTGTTTCGTGCAGTACCATCAATGTCGATGAGAATATGCGTAGCAAACCTTGAGGTACGTTTTGAATTCTCTAAGGGTAATCGACTTGGCCTATTTGAAGATATTAGCAAAGACGAGAGGACTTTAATGTCTCTCATTGCTGAAGAGTATCTTGTATTGGATGGTTATTCGTATGAAACAATTTGATATTGTTTCAAATTTACTAGAAAGCATTCTGAGAATTAGATCAGCAGAGAAGGGTATATTTGAAATCCAATTGGTTTTGGATTTTTTTTTCCTTTTTCTTTTCCTTTTTTTTTTGTTTTTGTTTTTTTTTTTGTTTTTTTTTTTTGTTTTTTTTTTTTGTTTTTTTTTTGTTTTTTTTTTTTTTGTTTTATATAAAATCACTATTAATGGCTTCCATTTAATATTAATATTATTAGGACAATTGAGAACGAATTATAATCCAAATATATGATCTATACTTGTATTGGACAAAATCCAATACCATGTACATAGTTTTTTCTTTTCATCTTGTGTTTGTAAAGATAAAAAAAAAAAACACGCACAGCTAGGAGAACATTAATAAAACGTGTATGAATGAGGATTAAGTTTGATGAAACAAATTACTATTAGAACGTTTATTCAATATTTTCGTTAAAAATATGTAAGAGTTTTACTTACATAAATGAAAAGTGAGATATACAATGTACATAAAAAGAAAAAACAAAAAAAGAAAAAAACTGACTATTATAATATTTTATAAGAGTGAGATACTTAATATCAAATTGGTGCTAAATAATGAATTATGTATTAGAGAAACATTAGTAAAATAATTCCCTTTGTGTTGCTGGCTGTAAGCTTATACTTAATATATTGAGTAATTTTCGAAAGTAAATAAAATTTACTATTCATTATGCATTTAGTAAATATTTTTTTTTATTTTTTTTTATTTTTCTTTCTTTCTTTATTTATTTATTTTTCTTTTTTTTTTTTTTTCTTTTTTTTTCCAAATATTTAAACAAACTAGCAAGTGTCAAATTTGGATATTACGATATGATACGATATATATATAGAAAGAGAGAGAGAGAGAGAGAGAGAGAGAGAGAGAGAGAAAGAGAACTCCTCCTGTAGTGAATGTTACATTATTATCACATGTATATTTTATCTGAATTTTGGAATAACAAGTCTTTGTCAAGAAGAGACGATAGTAATAATAAGTAATATGGGAATTAAGTGCTTTATATGTTCATATTTAGAACGAAAAAAGAAATTGTATTACGCTTGTTATATGGTTACGTATGCATTACGATTATAGATAATATTACGGTGATATTTGTCGAAGCTACAGTATGATATAGCTTCGTAGATGCAATGTACTTTAATGTTTGCAAATTTTGTAACTGCAAGCTGCTTGTCTTTGTACAGAATTTCTTATTGACTTTTATAGAATTGTATTTACATATAGAGCAGGCCATGTGTGTCATCTAACGCAAGGAGTTAAGCAAAAGCTTGCTGTGATGTACTAAGCACTAGTCAATGTGGGAACGTAGGAATGGTGGAGAATATTTTTATGGGGGGAAAAAAAAAAAAAGAAAAAAGAAAGGGGAAAAAATCTTCCAAGTGACAAAGTGCCTTAAAATTTTTTCAGTAGTATACAAAGTAGATAAAAAAGAAAAAAAAAGAAAAAAGAAAGAAACCATTTGCACAATACAATAGCATGGACATAGCATAAAATTCATATTTACTTATGTATATATTTCACATAATGTAATGTTATTACATGAAATATATACATCAATGTATATGCTATGTATATACTATAAACTTAAATTAGTCATATTTCTTTCACAAACGTCACCTGAGTTTTATCTCCTTAAATTTGTACGATACTTTTATTTTATTATTAAAATTATATATTTTCAGTTGAATTCTGTGAAAGGAGTATAATTAGTACCTGTGCATTATTCGATGAAATGAATGTACAAGACGTTTACAAAAAAAAAAAAAAAGAAAAGAAAAAAAAAGAAAGAAAAAAAACACAAAACAAAAAAAGGAAAAATGATAAAGAAACCCCTTCAATTAGCAATTTAGTTGCGTGCAATCTTTATCAAATATGATTTTGTATAAATTTTAATTGATTCAATGCATGTTATCAAACGATAGCAAAAAGTTTAAAAACAATGGCAATTGTATGTAACATATTTAAATGAAAGAAGCATATTTTTATATTATACATATACATTCATATGTATGACCTATACATAGCCAAAATTATAACCAAGTTAATATTATTTTGACTCTCTGTTTTTTGTTGTTCTTAGCAAAAATATATATCACATCAAATAGAAGTGAGTATAATACTATAATATACGCACATTTGAACAGAGATTAACCTGGTTATAATTCATTTTACACAGTAAGACTGTTGATGCCTTAAATAATTAGACCATGATTACCAACAGAGCATGTAAATTTTAATTATCATAAAAGAAATACACACATATTCTTATTAAAAGAAAAATATTAGACAGTATTATCATGAATAAGAAAATTATTATATTAGTAGATAATAAAGTATCAATATTTGTTATATTTCAACGAAAAAATAACAAAAAGAAAATAATGATTTCGTTCATTCGACAAATTATATGTATTTTATTTTAATAATTATACACATGGTTGGTTAATATATAAATGTAAATGAATTGTTATAGCAGTTATATCTGTGCAATCATATTAGAAAATTACAATGACGATTTTTGTGCATTAAAATATTTGTTCATATAATGTTTTACTTTTATATTATGTAATTCGTTGCTAATTACATTTTCTTTTTTTTTGTTTTTGTTTTTGTTTTTTTTTTCTTTTTTTCTTGTTAAAATTTTTATGATATACATAAACACACGCACATGTATTATGATTATCAAATAATATTCATTCGCATCTCTTTCTGAACAGCATATAAATTGTAACACTTTTATTATCTCCAAATTTTTTCACAAATCCATTGACTGAGATATTTAAAAATGTAAATAACACCAATGTATACTACTCCTGATAATCTGATATATAGTTTGGTAATAAATTTGTTTCCTTTTTTATTTTTTTTTTATTTTTTTATTTTTTTCTTTGCAATAATATAACTTTTATTGATCAGTAATAGTTTGAAGAATGAAACTTGTACATCTTGCTAACTGCCGACATATGCACCACACACGTATAAAACAATATGGACAAATTTTTTCTAATGATCAAATCGCTTGGAAATCTCGCAAGGAAATAATTAACTCATTACAATACATATATATATATATATATATATATATATATATATATATATTATATATATATATATATATGTGTGTGTGTGTGTGTGTGTGTGTGTGTGTACGCGTGTGTTGTTTTATATAACTTATTAGTATTTTTTATTTCTATAACAATAATCAATGTGATTGTTAGCGCAAAAATATATTTTTATTGATATATATATATATATAGTATATATATATATATATACATATATAGTATATTCGTATGAATTTTTGTATCAATGTATAAAGCATTTATAAGAAAGGTAAGTCTTAAAAGTAAATTGTTTTTATCAATTACTTATTATGTAATATGTGATAGTTGTGATAAATAAACAAAATAAGTGAACAATAATTAAATGAATGAAAGAATTTCAAATATCCTTTTCATCCAATGATACGTTTATAATTATATGATATATATTTTTTTTGTTGTATGTGCCTTCTTTACAGTCTATTTTCACTTCTAACTTTTAATATATATATATAATTAATATATATATTAATCATAATTTTTTTCTTTCTATGAATGATAAAATAATTATAGAATAAATTATATCAAAACAAAAAAAAAAGAAAAAAAAAATAAAAAGAAACAGAAAACAAGTTCAATAGTGTATAAAATTTTATCTGTGGCACAATAAATACATCGAACGATACACATTCATAAGATTCAAATATATCACTCAATGTTTTATGATTGTGCAACAGCGAGCATTTCCTCCTGATGGATCAAGTGAGTTGTGTGATTTACAAGGCTCATTAATTTTGATAGAGAAGCTGCCCATGTATCTAATAGAGCTGCTGGTTCTTGGCTTCCTGTGAAACGTACTACACCAGCGGGACGATCAGTACGTGCATTAATTACACCGGTTTCTACTAAATTGCATAAACATGACTCGGTTTCCTCAACAGGAAGATCCAATAACTCTGCCATACGAGTCAATGTAATTTTGGTGTAATATTTTGCCATAATTCTAATATTCTGAAGAAAAAAAAAATATATATATATTTTTTTTGTTTTTAATAGAAGATATATACACAAAGTATTAAAATGAAGCATACAAGTTAAACTTGTACTTACATGTTCGACAACACGATTACGCAAATCAGCCCAACGTTTGCGACCTTCTTCTGTTAATGCAGAAAATACTTCTGTTGCTCTGAGTTCTCTCTCATAAATTTCACAAAGACCAGACCACTTTATTAATTCTGGATTTACGAAAAGACGTAAAAGTTCTCTGCAAAGTATTAACATTATCATTGTCACAATTTATATTTATTATTTAGAGATGAAATATTCGAGTGTATTAGTCATTATATCATACTTGTATATAGGTATTTCATCTAGCATTTTATCAGCTAGCAATCTATGAGTCAAGTCTGCTTGTTCTGGTTCATGTGGAGCAAGTATAAGGTAAAGCACTGCACGTGATAATGCAGTATGTCTTTTTTCTGGATCTTCTCTAACGGCTGGTGTTTCGAGTACAGCTCGATTATGACGACATAATTCTAAATGCCATCCTTCGTGTCGAGATAATTCCATCATTAAACTGAAAAATGATCGAGGTCAATATATAATCAACACGGAATTCATTTAAACCAATAAAAAATATTACACACTCGTAATATTTTAACTTCAATGTTTGTGTCTCCTCGTCATTTTCATCGCTGAAAAATTTCACATTAATTTTCTTGGCTATTATTTGCGTTCGCATGAAATCTTTCTTTGCTAAGCACAAACGCATTTGTTCTAAAATAAGAGAAGCCTTTTCACGACGCGACATACTGCCATACGTTTCCACCTATGGAAATATATTAATAATTGATTTTATAAATAAAAATTTTTTTTAATCTATATTAAATACCTGTAATTCAAGCATTACGGCAGCAGCTCCATTTATATCACCATCTTCCTCTTTTATTTTGGCTAATCGATGCGTGAGTCTTGCTCTTTCTACTTCCACATAAATCTATAAAAATTGAAATTGTCATTAATATGTAACAGTTTGATTAAAATGATAACTTACTTTTCCTTCTGTTACTGAGCGCAAAGTTTCAATTAATTTAACCATAGTTTCCTTATCTGGAGTTTTATCTACATAAGTACAACATTCTTGAACCATTTTTGTAACGGCTTGTTTTAATTGAGAACGCCTCTTTGATAAAAGAACTATGTGCTCATTGAGCGCAGCCCAATTTTTTGCTTCCAAACAAATTTCACATATAGCAACGAGTACACGAGATGTCGATGCCATATCAGCTCCCTAAAATAATATATATATATATATATATATATATATATATATATATATATATATATATATGTATTTTACTACATGTTTTCAGTTATATAATATAACAAAATAAAATCTTTTTTGAATCAAATTTGCACATACAGTTCTGGTAAGTTTCTCTAATGCTAATAATTGATCTAAGGCATCATGTAGCTTTCCTTCTCGAGCTAGCTTTTTACATTCGGGAATCTTGGTATCACAATTGGTACTATAATCCACTTCCATCTTCATAATGCGTCCACTGTCCATTGTTCCCTCTGGCATTTTAATTTCTGTTCATAATATATAAAAAGTCAATAATTAAATAAAACTTCAATTTTATATATATATATATATACATAATATTTAATATGACGGCAATATTAACAATACAATTAACTAGTAAACAACTTTATATGAAATTATAAAAATATATTAAAATTTTTGAATGGATGTATTTTGTATAAGATAGTGTGTGCCTTTACTATAGATATTACTATAGACAATTACATTGCACTTTTTTCTCTAAAATATATTACACACTATTATATTTAATAGAATAAGAAAAATCAATTGTAAATATAAGATACATATACATATACATCATTCTATCTTAAAAAAACAAACTAACGAAGGAATTATATTTATTATAATTTTGTTACTTAATTTTAGATAGGGTTAAGTTCATAAACCTGTCAGTACATCGCGAATATGATTCCTAAGTGAAAAATTATAAAAATACATATTAGAAATTTTACCTCTGAGAAAGAAAGTTAAAAGATGAAGGATATTATTAAAGTATTTCACACAATTATAAATATATTTGTTTTATCGTTTAAAAAATAATAAAGGATAATTCAATATACATTGACAAAGCTACTGTAAGGAGTTGTATACACTTTATATATTTCTTTCCTACCAAACTTGTGAATTGCAATGCCGGATCGCAAACGATCTGCGCATGCGCAGTAATAGTTCTCTGATTGGCCATGTTTCTGGTGGTAAATTGAAATATGAAACGCTCTGGAATATATTTCTAAGTTTCTTCATTTTTATTTCTTTTCTGTTCATTTGTTCTAATTAAATTTTATAGTTTCTTTCGATTTATCGTTGACAATCCATTATTTAGAAAGAAACTTTGCACATTAAGTAACAATAGTGATATGTTTATTTAACTATGTTCGGTACTACAGTAAGTACAATTAGATTATGATTTTAAGCAGTTATGATTGTGTTCTTTAGAAGAGTCAAAGAAAGAATGTATGATTTCTTTTGTGTTCCTTTGTTCTCTTTGTTCCTTTGAGGATCTTTGTCGTCTCCTTTGTTTTTAGGGTCTTTTTTGTCTTTTATTTTATTTTCCGCTCGTGTATTTAGTGGCGCTAAGGTGTATTAGTTATATGTTTTGCCAAAAGAGGCGTAACAGTCGCGACAACGAGGTCGCTACAATACCAAAATGTAACATATAGTATACAAATGGTGGTACTGAATGTTATCATGGGTTGTTCGAATGTTTGATAGTACATATGATTTCAATAAGTTTTTCACGAGTAAAGAATTTTTATCCTTACGATATAATTGATACGTTTCTCTATTTCATGTTTCGTTTCTAATAATTTCGTTTGTTTTACGATTGACATAGTTATAAAATTATAAATAATGGCCGAAAAGGAAAGTGATAGTACGACAAGTGAAGTTGTGAAAACCGAAGATTTAACTGATAACACAGGAAATGAAGAAGCACCAACAAGTTTGGAAACTATAGCACAAGATACTAATACTACTCGAAATGGTGGTCCTCCAGTTACTTCAAAGGACAAAGAGAAAAGTAATTGTTATAATAATTAATCGAAATTCGTTATCAGTGATAAATTCACGTAATTATAAATCATTGTAAAATACATTACAGTATTTATGTTTATTATCATTCGATGTCTTTTTTTTTTTTTTAGTTGATATCTTATTAAAAGCAACTGGCAACGCACCTATCATGAAACAGAAAAAATGGTCCGTTAATCAGGATAATCAAATTGGAAAGATTTCAGATTTTATAAGGAAGTATCTCAAATTAGAATCCTCTGAAAGATTAGTAAGTCTATAAAATATTTAAAATATGTCACATGAAATATAAAAAAAAAAAATTTTTTTTTCTTTTTTCAGTTTCTTTATGTAAATCAAACTTTTGCACCAGCACCAGATCAAACAGTAAAAAATTTATACGATTGTTACGGTGCTGATGGGAAATTAATCATTCATTATTGCAAAAGTCCAGCATGGGGTTAACTGTGATCATTCTTTGATGCTTAAGCATCGTATGGTATCATTTTATTAACGGTAAAAACTTTTTATCAATATAAATTTTTTTCGAGGCTTACAAATCCATATCTTATATTGTACATAAATTGCACTTAAGAGTAATAAGTTAAAGTAGATATATACATATATATTTACTTATAATCAATTCAATTTATGCATATATTATGTTCCTAATACACTCGTTCATTATGAAATGTTTAATATATTGCTAAGAATAAGATTTTTATTTCATATAGATTAGTTTTTTCTTTTTTTTTTTTGTCTTTAAATAATATATACAGTTTTATTTTATTTCTTTATCAAAATAAATCAAAACAATATGTACCTGATTATGCAGGTATAATGTTAAATAAAATGTGTCTATTTTTAATATGACTTTGCTTATGTTTTACTGCACATTTTAAGATAAGAATTAAAAAAGAAAAAAAAAATTATATATTTTCTATGCATACGTTTGTTCTTGTTTTTATATTACTTTTCTTCTCTTCAACGATGTTCTTAAAAAAAAAAAAAAAAAAAAAAAAAAACTAATTTTTGATGTGAATTTTTGATATGTTACATTATTATTTGATTGGTCCTTTTTAAAAAAAATTTAAATATTACTTCATTGCATAGACAACTATAAGTTGCTTGTAGAATTAATTTGTGTAAAAAAAATAGATAATGTATAAAAAATCTCTATCGCTTCGTATAGCGGACATGAGTGGAGAGACTAGCGCCGCGCAACGGCAGCAGCTGACAACAGCGACAGGTTGTCTATTCTACGCCACTGGCGTTGTCATTTTTTCGCGTTGACTCATCACCGATAATGATGTATAAGGAAAACATTAAATTTCAATACAAATGAAAACACTAATTTTCATACAAATATTTATAATAATGTATATAATTCAATGTTTACATTTGTCCTCTTTTAAATATGCGAAACTTATGATCGATTAAAAAAATAGTAATTTGTTCGATCATATCAACATAAAAATCTTTACTTTAAAATAATAATAATAATAATAATAATAATACTAATAGGAAACGAAAGAATCCGAAAGAATTTTTTTGACTTACAATTGGATTTCAAAAATGAAAAATATGTTATTGCTTATATACTATATATGTACGATAATAATTTTAAAAGATTTGTTGAATTCTGTAATATAGAGTTCCTCTTTATAATCTTGTGCTTTATCTAGTGACAATCATACAATTGCGTAGATTTATCTCGACGATCTATCCAATATGTCTGCCTTCAAAAGTAAAATTATTCTTCATGTAGATTTTAATAAAACTGTGATTGCCCTTACGGGTATGACCAAAGGGATAATATGTTATGTAACTGTGTTTCAAAGGGTTTCATAAAAGGCTTGTCTAAAAAAATAATAATTTTTACATCTCACATGGCTTTCTTTTTTTTTTTTTTTATTTTTTTTTTTTTTTTTTTTTTTTTCGTACGATATATCAATCTTCTGATATTTCAGGGCATATTACGAATAATGTGTTTTTCAATTATGTTACACTTGATCTGAATCAATCATAACATTTGTTTTAACACAAATACAAAAGTGCATATAAAATAATATCCATATTTAATTACATAAAACATAAATTACGATCGTTGCTCGGATATAAATATAATATTTACTCATTGTAAAGATTTTCGTTCAGTCGAAACTTTCGATTTTAATACAGATTTCTTATTGCTTTGCAGAGACGCACGGCGTTGGCTAGACGAAGCAGATTTCGCTGTTTCAATTGGCTTTACCGAGCTACGTTTTGTACTAAGCAATGATTTCGTTTCCGTAATATTTTTCGCGCAATGACAACCACCCGAAGATACTTCAATTGGATTTTGTACCTTTAAAGATTTTACCTGCAATATGGGATACTTGTTAAGTCGTATATCAGACGGAACGATCGTTGTGCTTAGATAAAATCAAATTCGACGTTTCAATAGAATCAATTGCTTTTTATACCAACCGACGTTGTATCCTTGTCTTTGATGCACGAGCAAACTGGTGAAGGTATACCAGCTGGATCACGTGTACATGGCTGTGGCTGATCATCGCCTGTGATACATTGAATTTGATAAAATTATTTATTCACGAAGAGTACGTTGAATCGTTTAAATTTTACTTCTTAATTTTTTTTTTTTTTTTTTTTTTTTTTTTTTTTTTTTTTTTTTTTTTTTTTTTTTTTTTTTTAATACCATGGTATGTAGTCCTAACACTTTCAGCAGTCTCATCCATTTGGTTTATACCAGCGACATGCTCTCCTTCTAAATCGTCCAGCTTTAAATTGTCGCATTTCACTTCAGATTCCTCTGGCTTAACAGTTGCTGTACGTGCAGTCGATGATTTTGATTTGACGGATGGCGTTTTCACACGTGCCATTGTAAATGGGGATTTCCAAATGATGATAGCACCATCGGCGCTCACCGATACCATATGTTCGCCGTTGGGGCTAAATTTACATGATGTTATTATCGCTGCATGACCTATGCCAATATGCGTGACATTGGCCGTATGATATTCCCAGAGCTTAACAATGCAATCGTTCGAGCCGGTGACGAAGTATTGTCCATCAGGACTAATGTCTATGCAATTCAATGATCCTGAGGTAGAGCCCTCGATTTCACGAACCAACGAAGCATCCCACGTTTCCCAATAGCCAATCTTACGATCTGTACCGCAAGTTAAGATTTGTATGCTATTGGGACTGAAGCATGCGGCCATATACATCGTATTACCCATTAAAACCTGCTTCCTCGCGCAACGTCTGTTGATTAACAATTGTCAATCAATTTGTCGCATCTCTCGATAAAAAATGTAATAATGTAAATAGTTAATCAATACTTACATTACGTCCCATATTATACAAGTACCATCCGTACTCGAACTAATCAAATCCTCGTTATTAGAGGATATACACAATGATGTTACGGGTCCTCTATGTTCTTTCAAAATTGAGACAAGTCGTTGTACATCAGGTTTTATGTCCCATATACGCACCTACAAATGATGACATATTGATCATATCGAAAAAGTTTAAAGAAGAAGAAAAAGAAGAATGAGAATGAAACAAGAATATGATGAATGTATAAAATATAAATGACCTGTCCATCGCAACCCCCGCTGATTAATCTTTTCCCGTCTGCCGTTATCACGACTGCCGATACAGCTTTTATATGAGCATTATGGATAGTGAAGATAAGTTTACCTCTTTGCGGTGTAAACGCTCTTACAATACCATCATTCCATGCTGCAATGTTCAATAAATAGAAGAAAACTATTGTTAATTAGAAAATTATATGTATATTATATATATGTATATATATATATATATATATATATATATATATATATATATATACATATATATATATATATATATATATATATATATACATACACACACACATACACACACCTACCAGAAATTATCATTCGTCCATCATGAGAGAAACATAAACAGCTACAGACAAAATTAGGTACAGAAATTCTAAGCAATTCCTTTTGCGTTTCTAATCTCCACAATCTAATATCATTTTTTCCAGCTGTTGCAAATATTTCAGAATAATTCCTATACGTTGAAAAGAAAAAGAAAAGGAAATACAAAAAAAAAAAAAAAAAAAAAAAGGAAACTGAAATTATTTTGATCTTCGGCATAAAAAAAGAAAATAATCATGTTATCGATGTTTCCAATCTTACCAAGGAAATACGACGGAATATATGGAACTGTTGTGACAAGTTACGAGAAGTCTCATATCGAAATCGGCCAATCTTATTTGATAGATCTCGCTTAGGGCAGTTCCAACCAATATAAAATCATTCTTGTATAATAACATTGACGTCACAGTACCACAGACATTTTCTACAAGATGCTGCCAAATAGCTTTTCACTCGTTTGACTTAGGAATGATTATGAATCGAAAAAAAAAAAAAAGAAAAAAAAAAAGAAAAGAACAAAGAAATCTTTTTAATATAACGTTATCTTTTATCACTTACAGTTTTGATTTGCGGTGTACTCGGTAGTTTGGCGAACTTGCTCTTACTAAAATCTATATCCATAATTTCGATTAGCTCGACTGTACCATCACCTGCACCAACAATCAGTTTCTCATCATTTAAAAGCAAAAGTTTCTCAACTCCACCGGCATAACATTCTATTTCGCCCTTTGCTTGATTCACTTTTTTCAATCCTTTGTACATCTTCGAATAGCAACCTATCATCACCGATTCCGCTTGTTCTTCATCTTCGGAACGATAATTCAATCTACGTGTACGTATATAGGAAACTTTAATATTCATTATCATAGAGACACGATGAAATAATTTACATTGATTATTAAAAAAATTTTATTATTTATCTAAAAATATTTAAACCTTGCTTTTATAATGTCACCCGAGGATGTTCCGCAATAAGCGTAAGTATCATTTTCATTTATAACGATACAGTTTATCGAACGTCTTAATTTTCCTACTTTTACGTTTACGCCATATATCTTTCTTCTTTTCGAATCGATTCGCCAAACTTTAAGGGTTCTATCACCAGCAGTAAGAAAACATTCTTCGTGTTTATTCATTCTTGTTATTGTATAAGTGTTACCAGCTATTTCATTACTCGCAAATGATCCTGAAAATTAATTTAATGTTATGTCGATCATCAAGAATATACAGACACACACATACATACAGATATATATATATATATATATATATATATATATGTATGTATGTATGTAGATTTATAAGAAAATTTCATTTACCGCACATAGCGTCGTTATTTCGTACGTCCCATATTACTACGTTACCATCGTCTCTCCCACCAAGGCTTATCAAATAATTGCTATCCAATGTGAAACAAACGTCTTCGACTCTTACCTTATGAATTTCATAACTACTTTTTACAGTACGATTATGATAATCCCAAACGATGACCATGGCCTATTATAAAAAGATATATATATATATATATATAAACAAAAACGGAAAACTATAAAGAAAAAAAAAATAAATTCTCAAGAAATTCCACGAACTCATAATATTATATTACCTTGAATCCTAAATGATTTATCTGTCCAGAAGCCACAAAATTACCGCATGGAGAAACACATACCGCAGAAATTAAATTTGTATGTCCGGTTAAAAAGGATTGTTCACTGGAGAATACATTTTTTATCGTTACTTTGTTTCCCATCGGATAAATCATATGCTCTTGATCGGGATGCAATCTTAATGCATTTTTCGTAACACCTGATCGATTCATTTCAAAATATATATATATATATATAAAACATTATTCGGATACATGTATTATAAACGGAAAATAAAAATTATATGTATACGTGTATATATGTATGTATATATGTACGTATGTATGTATGTATTTATGTGTTAGAAAAGATATTGAAAAAAAAAAAAAAAAAAAAAAAAAAAAAAAATTAAAGAATTATACGAACCATCAAATCCTATTATTCCAACTATATCAAGCGGTTTAATATCCATCCTTCTGATTAGATTCAATTTGTAAAAAGATTTTTATTTATTTTTAAATAATAATCAATAGAAATGAAAGAAGTTAAAGAGAGTAACAACTTACTCCTCGCTCTTGATTCGATTGAAATTTACTTAGAGACAAAGTAGCATGTATCACGATGTAAATAATGTAGTTATCGTTACCATAGTAATCGACAGAAAATTAGTATCACCGCATGGTACCATTGGTTACCGAGGAGGTATCAAAGAAAAATTATACGTATAAAACGATATTATTATAATAATTCGTCATATGATCGCATTAGAAATAAATATTAAAGATATAAATTCTTCGAGTATTAGAATATAAGTGTGGTATAAGATTTTTTCTTTTTTTATCTTTCATTTTTTTATTTTTTTTTTTTTTTATTTTTTATTTTTTATTTTTTATTTATCTCGTTTTTATATATTTCTTTATTTGTCTATTTTTCTTATTTTTTTTTTCTCTCGCATACACATATATGCATTAGTCACATTTATCAAATTTGATTTTAATAGTCTGCTAATACCTTCTTATACATATAGAGTACATATGCTATTAAAGGAATTTTTACTCTATTTAAATAGATAATCCAACGACTCAAGGCATTGTGAGACTTCTTGATTTAACTAATGTAATAGATGTATATATATATATATATATATATATATATATATATATATATATATATATATATACATACATACATATATTCATTATATTTTTCATAGAATACTTAAACTCACGCCGGAAGTGTTACTACGTGAATCAAAACGATGACATTGGAATCATTTAAAATTACATATTTACGTACATACATATATTTATACGTAATATTATTTGTGTTTAATGCCGCAATTTTACATACATTAATGTTAAAAATGTTAATAATTATTTGAATACAGAAAAAAAAAAAAAAAAAAAGAAAAAGATTCAAGGAAAATAAAGACATGAAACGAAATAATCTTATTTTTGTATGCTAATGGACGTATGCTTTGTATGCTAAATGACGACAGAATAATTGTTTCTATTTTAGCATTTACTGATTAAATAAAAATGAAATGAAATCGATATTCGATTGATTTCTTGGTAAGTTATTTTTAAATTACTTAAACATTGACGAGATTAGTGTGGTTGACCTTGATGAATGGATAAAATCTACGTAATTATATTTATATAAAGCGACACGCTTATTTGTAGTTAATAAAAATAATTTGGACGATATAATATAAAGTATTTTTTCAATTTTCGAGCATTTATATCTAATTAGATAAATTTTAATAAACATTTAGAACATTATTATATTTTAAAAATCCAGTAACATTTATTTAATTCAATTTACTTACTAAAATCTAATTCTTTCGTTCGCATGAGCCCGTACATAGATACCCTCCATTTTCAGTCAATAAGAGAGCTTAAAAACTAGGGAAATTTTTTTTTTAGAGATTGCCGAACATAAATCAGATCAAAGCATTTTAATAGAGCGTATACTCAATCATTATTTTCTCTAATCATTATTATCTAAAATTACATATATATATACACACACTATATATATATATATTATAAAGTATATATATGTATATATACGCTTTAATTAAAGGTACTTTCAGTGGACGAATATAAAAAGGAATATTGTGATTGGTCGTTGCCAACCTATCACCCTTGAAGATATATTATTTTTTCATTTTAGCTTGTCGATTGCATCAAGTCGAGCAACGAAGAGAAAGAAAGAAAGGGAGAGAGAGAGAGAGAGAGAGAGAGAGAGAGAGAGTCTTCTATTCGTCGTTATAGTTCTCGCTTAAAACACAAAGACAAAATTTCACGGGTAGTAAATAGAGCAAATAATAAGAAAGAGAAATAAAAAAGTCAATCGAGACGGAAAGGGAAACGGATAGGTAGAGAAACGGACGGCATCAAGAGTAACTACATCGTCGCCATTTTGTTTATTTTCGCGCAAAGGTGTAAATTACCGAACGGGGGAAAGGAGTGAGAGATAGAGATAGAGATAGAGAGTGAGAGAGAGTGAGAGAGAGAGAGAGAGAGAGAGTAAGAGTAAGAGTGTGAGCATGTGCGAGCGAGAGAGCATACTTGAGAGTAAAAGAGAAGCATAAACGGCTCATCGTTTCCCTCTCTCTTCTTCTTTCTTTATCTCTTTTTCTTTAAGTCTATCCTTCTCTAAACTGTCAGTCAATCTCTTTCTCTCCTGTCAGTCTAATTTCTCCATCGATCTTACATTATTCTCTATCTTTTCACATTATACAATTTAGCTGAGCACATTGTGAAGAGAGGAAAAGGGAAAAAAAGAACAGATAGTTCAAAAAGCTGGAACCAACGGCAACGTTGGCCGTTGCTTTTAACTGTGAGCGTCGTCACGAGCTGTACGACGGATTAATATATCGCGTTTTGTTGGCGCGACGAGGAGGAGGAGGACGAGGAGGAGGAGGAGGGGGAGGAGGAGGAGGAGGAGGAGGAGAGGAGGAGGTGGAGGTGGAGAAGGAAGAAGAAGAGGTGGTGGTGTAGGTTCAGGAAGAGAAGGAGGTGGCGAAAGAAGGGAGTGTAAAAGGAGAAAGAGAGGAGGAGGAGGAGGAGGAGGTACGTGAATTTTGTGAACGTCGTCGAGTCGAACGAGACGCCGGTTTCGTGTACGTAAAAATCGCGTATTATACGAATCGCTGATTATTCGGAAAAGTCAAAAGAGAGAACAGAAAAGATTAACAAAGGGAGTATAAGGGATTAAAATTGCTACGACCACGACCTACGTTGGCAGCTGTAGCGACGACAGCGGC